TTTCTCTACTGATGTGTAATATTTGTGAGATCTAATCTGGAGAAGGGCAAGTCTGGGCCTGCCTGGCTGTTTAATGAATAGTCATGACAGAAAAAAGTGGGGTGGGGGCGGAGTGAAGGTTTGTTGTTAGATGTAAGGCAAGTTTAGAAGGCCGAGCCAGGCAGGGGAAACAAGTGGAGGAGAGGAGAGAGGCAGTAAGGAGGTGTCCTGTATCCTCCATCATGTCCTTGTCCACAGCCTGGACAGCTGCTGCGTTGAACTTTTTACAGTATTTTTGACCACAGCCAAGTTCTTTAGAAGTCCTGAGAATAAAAAATCAAGGAGACATCATAGGAAACTTTACAAAGTGAGGAGCCTTATGATGTTGTATGCTGTGGTGAGTACACTCTTACTGTGCAAACCTATTTTTTAAGTGTTTTGGAGAATGCTGTGTTGTTGGGTTTTTGTTTTGTTTTACTTCACCTTGGTTGGCGTTGTTGTTGAACCTGAGTGGGAGTCAGGCGTACCTTCAGGGACAGTCAAATAGTTAAAATGTCTTTCTCGGGGTTGATACTCCCACTAAGTCAGGCTTGGGGCTTTTTTGTCTTGGGAAATACTATATGAATTCATCGTCAAACTGTGTGACCACTGTTACATATAAATATAGAATTAATTGGATTTAAGGGAATGGAATTAGTTGATTGCAATTAGGGATAAAGAAAGTAACTACAAATCTACGATTCAGCTCTGACTTCACATTCATTTATAGTCCAAAACATCGCATGAGTAGTTGACCGTTGACTGACGCCGTGGTGGGATGCACACCTGAGAGGTCACCTGTCCATATCACAAGTACACACAGACAGATGCACAACCTATGACAACATAAGTTGGATTAAAATGTAACAATAATAATAATAATAATAATAATAATAATAATAATAGTAGTAGTAGTAGTTATATTATTATTATTAGTGTCATTCTTGGCTCACAAGTGAGTGATAAATATATAATATACATATAATATAAATAAAATATAATTACAGAATTTGCATTAAATGTGACACATTTCTCTGTATTATTGAACTAACTACTAACTTTTTTACCTGTATTTGTAAATGCAGGCATCCTAACAGGCTTTTCTGTAGTTTCAGCAATCACCAACAGAGGGCACAATTTTATACAATTCTCCCACTGCTTGTCTCCCTTCTTTTCCTCCAGTTTCACAGTGAAAGCATCTTTTACAAACTGCCTCAGTTTCCACATGTCATCAACATATAGGCTTAAGATTGATACATTTTCAATATTTAATGTCAATCTTTACGGTAAAATGAAAAGACGTGTGTCGTCTTCCTTTTCCTCTTTTAATCAATGGGAGTCACTATCAGCTGGTTGATCATTTGTATCTTCAGCCCATTATGTTTCCCTCATCCTGACAAGTGACTGTGACTTATCTACATTTCTCTGTGTTCTGGGGTCTTTAAAGCTCTTCTTTGAGTGACAGCTACTAGAGCAGCTGCCCGTAGGGGACATCAGGATCTGCTGAGATAGAGAGCTTAAACACACACATACACACAATTCACACACACACACACCCCAATGACAACATCAGCATTTGATAGGAAGCTCAAACATGTGCACGTGTAAACGGCTGTTCACACATTGGCAGCAGAGGGTTTTTAGCTGTGTTTCAACTTGTTGCAAACCAAGTTTAGGCATTACGTCCATGCACACCTGTGTGTGTTTTGTATGAGTGTGTGTGTGTGTGTGTATTTGTCTGTTATAAGAGGGTATGTACCAGAGTGTATCGTATAAATAAGTGTTATCTGTTGTTGGGGTTTACCTTCCTGCCCTTAAAAGCCCCGTGGTAAATTTTTTCAAGGAAGATTTTACGATGGCAGAAAGTAAAATTGTGAATTTTTACTACTTTGCTTGAGACATTTATTATAGTTGACTATTTTATTGTCAAGGTAAAGTAACTAATTACTTTACTAATTTTACCTAAAATAATTGTTTAAAAACCACTTTAGTATCAGATTTATTATATTAAGTGTATTATGTCTATTACATAAACATTACATAAATAAAAACAATTACTTTGACAAGTCACCGTTGTTTAATTGTTTACATACTTTAAATAGTTCTACAAATAACAAAGATTAAAAATACACACAAAATAGATGTAGGCCACATGGTGAAGAGTGTTTATTACTCCTACCTTACAACAGCAATATCCCCAGTTTGATTCCCAGTTTCTCTGTTTGGAATCCAAAAACATACCGATAAGGGTTTGATTTTTGACAAAATAAAAACTGACCACAGGTATGAATGTGAGTGTGAATGGTTGTATATTTGTACCCAGTTTTACCACTTGTTCTTTTGTTTGCAAATACTCCGACAGCCATTCGATCTCAAAAGAACCGCAATTCTGTCTTACCTTTGACTTGGTGAGTGGACGTGTCGCTGCCCGTTCGTTAGCATTTAGCATTTACGTGTTTTGATTCCGCTGCACAGTTGTTACCTAGCTAGCTAATCTGCACGGCGCATGCGCGCAGTGGTATGATTGGCAGTGTAGCGTTAGTGAACCATCTCGTTTCATTGGCTGGACACCTGTCATTCAGTGCGATACATCATTACGTTATTTTTCGGGTCAATGGATAATAAATACCTACAACACAGTTTATGTTTAATTTTATGCGCTGCACAGATTTTCTTGTGCGCTGATAATGTTCGAGGAGTGCACGATTGCGCACGTGTGCAGCTTAGAGAGAAAATTGATTCTCTACTATGTTTCACCCAACCCGCTGAAAAGTAAAACCAAGGTGATAGTCAACAAATAATCATTGACATTTTTTTTATTTGGCTGAACCCAGTTTTGCAGATTTTTTATTTCTTATTTGTTTTTTTGGTTCTTCATGATGCTGGAACCTGGAAAAAAAGTTTGGATTATGTTTACATGACAGCATTATACAGTTGCTGCTTCACATCCATGAATCTCTGTTGTTCCACCACATCCTAAAGGTATTTTGTTTGACTGAGGTTCAATGTATGAGGCGATAACTGTATGTTTGCAGTTCATTTTTAGCAAATGATCTTTGGGATGTGGTGGATCCCTAATGATGGTTGTGTTTTTTTATTATTACAACTTCAATCACACATTCTAAAGTCAAAGTGAAATTGAAATGGTCTTTTTCATCATTTAAATGTGAGTGTCCAGAGCAGGTCTGCATGTATTGATACACTGAATTCCTGCAGTTAACTGGCTGACAGGAATTCTGTAAGAAAAGCAGACACATTTAACTATTCCATGTAGTTAAGCTTTTGAAACACACTACTCTGTATCTCTCTATCCACCTGACTATACAGTCCACATATAGACCCGAATTTAACATAAACAGTTTGCTGTAAGTTAGGGACATTGAACTGTTAGTTTGCTTTCATGAACTGTGCCATAATGTTTTTGTGCAACTTTGAGTTGTTGAGAGGTCTGAGGTTGAAAACACACAGCACAGGGCAGAAGGTGAAATCAAGCAATGTTTTCAGATCAGAGCTCTGCTGGTAAACACACGGGTTAAAGGAACCTCCAGTCTGTTGTTGGTTTTTAAATTTTTAAATTTTAACATAGCCAAAAGATACAATTTACACAACAATTAAGACAAACTCTTAAAAAATAAAATTAATAATAATTTAAATTTAAAATGAGCACTGAACAGAATTTAATAAAAAATCCAATACATTTTTAGCATTCCATTGATTTATATTAATGCAATTATTTGGTTTAATGATATTGTGTCTAATTAAATTTTAAATCAACAGTTTTTCTTTTTAAACTATTGATTAATTGATTATATACTATACTTGGAACGGGACTCTGGCCTTTGAACCTTTGCTCTTTCATGTGTTATCCTCTGTTTCCTCTCTCTCTTTCTCTCTCTCCCTCTCTTTCTTTTCTCTCTCTCTCTCTCTCTCTCTCTCTCTGTCAGACCAGACAGTGTTTACTTTGTGCAGGCCTTCTCTAGGTGTTTTGGAGCATGTGTATACATGTGCCCCAGCATTGCCGTCTATGTCCGGGCATGCCGTAATTAGAATGTCGTACCATTTTTTGGGTTCCCATCCCTCTCTCTCTCTCTCTCTCTCTCTCTCTTTCTCTCCTCTTGTCTTAGTCTATCGTTTCTCCAACTCCACAACAGTCCTCACCTTTTCCCTGTCCTGGCTGTACATGTGTCTGTGTGAGTGTGTGAGTGAGTGTGAGGTTTGTCCACTGAAACACACTTTTGAACTCTCAGTGTGGACCTGCAGTGTCTTTGCCTTAGTGTGTCTGGAGGTTTTTGACTGAAAGGTTGACAAATGAGACCAAAGCACTAAAGGATGTACTACGTGAAAAAGAAGGTAAATGTGATTTTCTACTTATTTTTAAGTAAAAGTTTAGATTTGTGTGTGTTTGAGTGTTTTGTTGCAGTTCAACTTCCAATTACTCTCAGTGGTTGGTACTCAGATATTTACAGTTAATTCATTAGCATTTACATAATGTTGATGATTAATTATGACCAGATTATTACTGGTAACAATTCTTCTTTTGTGCTGAATCACACTCAGTAGTGTTATTATTAATGATATAATTTTATTTGTGTGTAAAATCAAAGGACAAAGTCCTCAAACACTGTGACTGTTGGATGTTATCGCTCAGAGGATGGACAGAAGCTGGAAATTCTAAAGATTTTTTGGGGAAAAGGTTTTTTTGGTGAATTCTTTTATTTTTGTTTAAATTTGACAAATAACCACTGATGGAAAACAATGGCACGGGAATGCACAAGCATGTTTGTATGTGGGCCACTGAGAACTGTGTCACAGTGCAACAAATCTTCCCTCTCTTTCCTCAACACAACACTGAGGACAAGAGGGGAATGACAGGAAGACAATTAGGCAGAGCACAGATTACGCTTGTGTTTTACAACTCGCCCTCACATAGCCCCAAGGGGGCTACAGTGAGACAGTGAGTCAATTTATTATTTTTTTTTAATTTTTGTTCTTTTTCATACACCAAAGGAATATTGGTGTAACTGAGCTGCTGCTTTTTCAAAGTAATTAATAAAGGACATTTATTTTCTTATTAAATAAAAAATATTTAGAAAAATATTTTCTCTTTAGCACTCATCAAGTTGATTACATGGGAGTAGTGAAAACTTTATTTAAAAAAGGGAATCCACAGTCCTGGAAAGGAAGATAATCCAATTTCCCAGCCTGGGATCAATCAAGTACATCTATCTATCTAATGAAGTTGACATCAAGCATACAATAGAATAATTTTGTCTAGAAATATATGTGGGATGGAGTTGCAGCCATTCAGTCATTCACCAAATGTTTTTACTACTAAGTTGTGATGATTCTTAAATATTTTTTTGTATATGTATACCTTTAGGCCAAATGCGGCCCGCTATGCTGTTTTGTGTGGCCCGCGGGAGCTTAAAAAGCATTTAGTCCATACAGCAGAGTTTTTTCACCTATATAATTAAAAAAATAATTACACAGCACTGAACAATATTTATAGCTTGAACAAATAATAATCAATTGCCTTTTTTGTTCCAAGGACTGGTCAGCCACTACCACCTGTTACCCGTGACCTAAAAATATTGCCAGATTATCTTTGAATTAAAAAAAGTAAATGGATATGACAGGATTTTCTATGAATGAAGTAAATTTGTAAAAATTAAGTACATTTTTTTCAGTGTGTCCCACTGTGGCCCAGTACCAAATGACTTAAGGACTAGTACTAGTCTGCGGACCGGGGTTTGGGGACCCCTGATCTATACAATCTTCCAGCTACAACCGGCCCTTCAAGGGGAACTGTAATGCTGATGTGGCCCCCGGTGAAAATGAGTTTGACACCGCTGCTTTAGGCTATCGGTGAACTAAGTGAAGGACTGACTGAGTCCTCAGAGGAGAGTGGGAGAGCAGTTCAGACCTTTGACAACAGGGGTGGCTATAGTCCTCTACTCTGCAGACTTAGAGCCACTAAAGCTAAAGTGCTTGTACATGAAGGGGATTTAAACTATTTGGGTGCAAGACACTTGGGCACAATAGAGTGTTCCCCCGAAAAGTGTCCTCTAAGTGTAGTCTGCTGTACCGTTGGCCACTTTTATCCATTTTTTCCTTAAATTCATAGATTTCTTTTGCAGTAATTTTGTTTTTTGTATTTTGGAGGGCTCTGCTTTCTTTGTTTCAAGAATGTTCAAGTTCAAGTTCAAGAAACTTTTTGTAACTGTGGTGTTTAATGACCTTATTTAACTGTTGTCAAACTCCAACATTTCACTACAGTGTGAATGGTTTTAACTTTAGAGGTGAAGTAGTTTTGAAAGAGATATAGTTTTGACCTGACTGTGAGAACAGAGATGGTGAAGGTTACTTCTGTGGACGTGGTCTACTCATGTGACCAAGAATCAGAGAGAAAAAGAAATCACTAGTCTTCACTTTCAACTTTGACAGGAAAGGTATTGTGGGATAAAAAGTAATGATAGGCTGTGCCCAATTTACCTTTGTGATTTGGCAAAAGATCAGTGGACACAGAGAAGCTACGTGGAACGAACCTTCGGTCAAAAACGCCAGGATTTGACAATAAGGTCTTAGTGTAGTACTTTGAAGTGAAATCATCAAAGGACATAATCTTTTTATGTCAGAGTTTTGACAAAGTTGAACAATGCCATGACCGTGTTACATCACCAAAACTAATGTAAGTGGTACAAAACAAGATGGGGTTTGATGATTCTGGGCATCTTTTAATCCCACTGTAATGAACATCTGTCTGGTGAGACATCATGACACACATACATAACACACACCAAACACCACTACCTGCAGCTTTCCCTTCCCGCTGTAATCTGACCTCTCTTCAATTTCCCAGCTCCTCTCTCTCCCGACACCTCTACAACACCTTTCCTCTCTCTACCTGTGTCCTCCCTCTGTCTCTCTCCTCCCTCCTCCACCTCCCTTATTCTTCTCCCTCTTCTTTCCTCCCCAGTCCCAGTACAACTTGCTGAGCAGCAGCATGGAGAGCCTGGGGAGCCGCGCAACGTCCGCCAGCCCCTATAGCTCCGAAAACGCCTCCTCATCGGCCGTGCCCACCCCCTCACCCTACTCACAGCCCAACTCCACCTTTGAGGGCCTGTCACCTGCTCCTGCCATCCCCTCCAACACCGACTACCCCGGTCCGCACACCTTCCAGGTGTCCTTCCAACAGTCCAGCACTGCCAAGTCTGCCACATGGACCGTGAGTACAAACACACACGCACACGCACACATGCACATGCACATTCTTGACTTTGGATTTCAGTGACCTAAGTCCATGTGTGTGCCAGTCAGCATCTCTACCTTTGTGTCTAAGTGAGTTACTGTATTGCTCAGGCACAGACTTCAACACAAAGACATGCTTTCACATGCATATGTCCTCAACTCAAGTTAGCACATGCTCGGGCAGGTCACATGGGAGAGAAAGTCATGTACCACACCGTGTTGTATCCAGTCCTCTAATCAAATCAGGTGTTTAACTAAACTAATGGAATATTGCTTTACACTGATAATCTGTAATGTGTACTTTATAACAGTTAGTGTAGGATGAAGTCAATGCAAAGAAAGTCTTATTTTTCAATGTAAACCAATATGGTGTTAATACCGTTTACCACTTCATTCTCAGGCTAGTAGTCTAGTTTTAGCACCAGGTCACAACATTCTTATATTCCACACTGAAAAACTGAAATAAAGTATCTTTAAAATGTTTTGGGGGGAAAAAACATTTGCAAAGCTTGATTATTTTACCAGGGCTGATTAAGAATTAGATCTTGCTTATTTTTTATTTTAAAATAGTTCAATTCTTTAGGGCGGTTGAAAAAAGCCATTTTAATTAACTGTCCAAAATTTAAAAATTAACTGGTATTTATGAATTATAAAAGTTTACCATGTTTTACTAAATAAAATCAGACACTGTTGGTTTTAAATGTCTCAGAAGTTTTTGACTTCACAGTTGCATGCCATACCAAATGGTTTCCTATTTTCTTCAGGGTATAATTGTATCTACATGCAGGTGTGTCCTTGGGCAAAACATTTCAATCCGAATCATCCATAGACCCAAAAAAAAAAAAAATTAACTGAATGGAGGAGGAAAGTTTTGGGTCTTAAGGGGCAGAATGAGTCAAAGGAGATTCCTCGCTGATGTTTGTGAAATGCATTTGACTATGATACAAAAAAATGTCTGTTGTGGTAATGACAGTAGATAACACTGGGGAACCCACAATGAACCAGCCATCTTAGGTCAATCCACACAAAATAAACACAACACACCTCAGCCTTAAGATGTGATGGCGCTGAGAGACGGCTGAAACAGGATCTTTGTAACTCATCATGACCCGATGAGAAATCTCCTGTTGGAAAGGTGTCGCCTCCGACTGTCACACAGTTGACCTCCCTGAAACAAGAGAAACAGGAGACAAACTACCACTTCCCACAGTTTGTGCCTAAGTGTGTTTATGTGAGTGTTTATATGTGTGTGTGTGTGTGTGTGTGTGTGTGTGTGTGAGGGAAAGACCCAGGAGCTCCTGTAAGGCTGTGTTTGCTGGAAGTACCCATGCATGGTGGGCTGTTTCACTCAGCCCTCAGCAATGTAAGAAGATCCCCCTCTGGACATTAGCGCAGTGGTCTTTGACCTGCTGCTTTTCTTCTCTGTCTCTTTATTCCACCTATCCTAACACATACACACACGCACTCATGGCTGTCACTTCTGGCGCCTGAAGTTGCTCTACATCCTCTCCTTAAATCTGTCATCTCTGTTCTCTCACGTCCACTCTCTGACCCCAGGCTAATCACAGACAAACTAAAACCATAGCAACCAAGAAAAACATGGTGAAAAAATATGACATTTTAATCAATCAAGTCATTCCTCTGGACCTGAGAAAAATCTACCCCTTTTTCCATGTTTAACTACTTTTCTTTTCAACATTAACCTTCTTAGTTACACAGGTTGGCCACCACTATCAATTTTTTTACCGAGTTTAGACCTAAAAATATTTGATTCTAACTTACTTACTCTCCAATCCTTTTATTCACAGTTGGGGATAAACAATCTTCAATCTTTGCTGCTAAGAAAATAACTTGAAAGTAGCTCAACAAAGAGTGTGTGCTTGTGTGTGTTGTTTCCAGAAGACACAAAGAGGATTTTGCTTGGCACATGACTTCTGATACAGATGATGATGCAGCAGAAAAAAGTAAAGGCAAGGAAACCTGTGATTATTCCGATGCATTTACTGCAGATTAAACAGCTGGGAACGGGATGAAAGAGAGGGGTGATTGCTCACAGCGTTTAAAAAGCTTACTGTAATGGTATGATTTTAAGGTGATTTTAAGAAGTAAAGAGGCTGCACTTTAGGGTTATGATCCAATCATTTTCAAACAGTAAATTACTTGTGTGTTTGAAATGATACAGTTGTCTTTTTAGATAAGGTTCCAGAGTTTTTTTAAATTCTGACCTTAAAAGAAAACATACATATTTACAGGGAAAAGAAGCTCAGTGTATATAAACACGTGTCAGGCTGCTTTGCAGATGAATGGGAAAAATCTTGTGAGGACTCAGATCAAGAGCAGGTTGTTTGAAAAAAGAAAAAAAAAAAAAGATTTTGGTCAAGGCCTTTGGAATGAACACAATTCCGTTAATGGGAGGGGATTCCCCCCAAAAATAACAGCAGGTTTGTGAGAGGATTAGTGTGTGTGTGTGTGTGTGTGTGTGTGTGTGTGTGTGTGTGTTTCTATGCAAAAATCAGATGAAAGTCAAGGTTTGGACATGTTTAACAGGAGAAGAACATTAAACGCACCACAGTGAGTCAGCTTATTTGAATGAAGGCATCAACAGTTAACAGTTTGGGTTTGTTGCTGATTTCCTGTGCCCTCAGGTAGTGGAAAACGAGAAACAACATAGGGGCACATTGACTGTGTTGACTTATCAAGCCGTCAAATGGCTACCTCTCAGAGTGGGTGGCACTGAGGAGCATGAAGACAGGGAAGGAGAACAGAGGAGAGGCAAAAAGAAGACAGCGGAGGAGAGAAGAGATGAGACAATGCCCTTGTTTGTCATAGTGTTTCCACATACACTAAGTCCAACCAAGCCCGTCTTAAGCTGCCCTGGTAATCCTCCAGTCCCCCTCCTGTCTCGTCAAGACGAAAAAGCATTAAAGATAATAGCTCTGAAACTCTGCCACTGTCTGAGCCCTCGAAGATGATTCTTTGGCAGGAACTCAAGCAAGCGTCACTCTGGCTGAAAATGAGATGTAGCACCTATATCTTAACAAATAATAGGACTTCTTGATATAGATTTGGAGACTTCATTTTGTGTGACTATGTGTACGCTGTGTGAGCGTTGGGGGTGTGGGGGGGTACACACAGGCTCCGACATGCACCCAGAGGCGGCTTGTCAGAAGCTGCTTTTCCCAACTATTAGTTTCTCTCCGTTAGGATGCAGGTCTCAACATGCCCTCACACAACGCATCCTTCCCCTCCCTTCCACATGCATCATCCACAGCCACATCACCAGTGGCCTTCGTGACCAGCATCTGAAAAACACACTTGATATAAAGAAGTTTCACCATCTAATGTGTCTGTGCTTGAAAAATTACTTGGATAATATTAAAATATCACATGGAGATGAGATTTTATTATTGAAACATATTCTATGAAGAATATAAGAAAAACATTAAAAACAGAGTTGAAAGTAAATACACTGTATGTCTGTTTGCTCTACAGTAAGTGGCAAAATGAGTTCAGTGAATATAAAATAAATCTAATCTTGTTACTCGGTCAATACTTTAGCACAACAGCAGGTATTAGAGACAAGAGTTTATTCACTGAATATGAAAAAAATACATTTAAGAACAGACACGTCTGAACCACGTTTGATCAAACGTGGCTAATTTAACCTTAGAATGAAAGTACGGTTTCACTGAGAGACTCCCGTGAATTGTTGTTTTTTTTAGGCTTGATGATTTGAAAAAGACGAGTCAGGTTTTACATAAACTCATTAGTCAAATTCACATTTGCAAAATTGTCATTTCTCATTTCCCTCTACAGCCAAATTGCAATTGTGTGTTTGTGTGTGTGTACATGTCCATGACTGTATTTGATATTAGACGGTGCATAGGACAAGTTGTTTCTTGTGTATATGGATGACAGTCTGGCAATTATCACCTTGTCTCCCAGAGCCTGTCAGGACCTGTTTCCATTGGCCAATGTGCAAAAGCACAAGCAATGGACTAATGGATAAATGGATGGGTGGATGGATGGATGGATGGATGGATGGATGGATGGAGAGCTGACATTGAAATGATTAGATGATTTTTATTGAACATTGACATTGAGATGATTAGTTACTTAATATAAAAAGAAACTGCTGGTCCAGATGCAACAATTTATTTAAACCACTGATGAATAAAATTGTTTTTTTTAACACTGTAGGAGAATGTTAGAGATGGAGCTACCAGGTAGGAGACAAAGAGGAAGGCCAAAGAGGAGATATATGGATGCAGTGAGGGAGGACATGCAGAGAGTTGGAGTCAGAGTAGCTGAAAAAAGGGGAGAACAGGGCAAAATTGAAATCAGTGATTTGCTGTGGCAACCCCTGAAAAAAGGGACAAAGCCGAAAGAAAAAAAGAATATTCTTCATCTAATGTCTTCTATCTTCTGTATTGACAATAGCACACAATAGCTCTGTTCACTTGAACAATACCTGAAATTGCTGACCTCATCGAACATGCCAGTTCATTGTCGGTGCATGTGCGCACTCGTCAGTGTGCTGGACAAGTTGAGGCGTTTCCCGTGGCTTCCTCAGCCCGGAAGACTAAAGACACGGGGGTGATTTATGACTTGTTAATGCACTCTGTCATGTTCAAGGGCCATTACGATCAATCTGCCAGTAAAGTAACTCGGTGGCTGCTGGACTGAAAATGAACAGCTGGAACTGGACAGTACTACTGGTCCGTCAGTGACATTTCTTATAAAAAACTAACATTATCTTTGAGTGTCCTTTTGGGTCTTACGGTGAATTTACAAGTGTAGTACTGCTACAGGACAGCAGGTGGATCAAAATTGCCTCAGATATTTATTCACAACATTGTAAACTTTTGTCATGAAATACTCATTACATCGACATAGAAATATAAAATAGGGACCTAGTCACCCATAGTTAGCCTGTGGAAATGGGTAGCTCAGCTAATGGATAACTACAGAAGCTACAACAATCTGTCAGAACTAAATGATAGCTTTAAAAAAAGAGAGATGACATTGTAAGGTCTGGGACTTGTACATGTACAATGTACATCAGCTAAAGATGAGGCTGTGAATATTATCACAGTTAGGACAAATACCTACACCATATTTGTACATGCTTTACTCATGTAGCCCAATTGGTTGAGCGGTGTCTGTCCAAGTATTGAAGTTTTTGTTTTCTCTAGTACCCAAACCTGCAGATAGTCTTAGGTCATGACTAGAGACTCGAACAATGGCAGGTTTGAACGTGACTGTGAATAATTGTACAACCCTGTGATAGACGCTTTCAGAAAGTGAGATCACTGCGTTTCTTACGGTAGACGCTTAAAATAAATGTCTGTTGTCCAGTAAGACAAATACCACACACGTCTGCATATGTAAATATTACAGGCCTGTGACTCTGCAGATGATGTTCATTTGACCTTTGGACATATAGCTGGTAACCAACCACGCTGACTTCATATTCCCCCTTCCAATCACCGGAGGAGTTGTAATGTGTTGTGATAGCGCTGAAAACCAAACCGTTGGGTGATAGATGTTGCAATAAGAACTGTTGTATCTGAGAAAAAAATATTTATCCATGGTATGGATGGGCTGTTGAAACTTGTCAGGGAAAGTTAGTTGGGAAAAGGTAATACTGTGCACAGGTATTTCCATTGCCCTCAGGGGGAGTGCTCATGGCCAAGTGTGTGTGTGTGTGTGTGTGTGTGAATGTGTTGTTGGTTTAGTCACACTGGCAAAATACAAGCAGTTTTTAGTCTGTTGCCCAGTCAGCAGTGTGTCTAGGCAAATAGGATAATTAGTCTGAATAAATTATTAAAATAAAAAACAATAGGACTAGACAGGACTATTGTTGACCCCATGACCCTTTCACAGCTATTGATCACAACTTCATTGTACTCATAGTATTTAAAACACTGTCTTTCCTACAAAAACTTCTGATCTAACAAATTAAATAAAATGAAATAGCTTAAATTCAGTTTCTATACCGAGCCGCCTTTTTTCCTCCTGCAATAGGTCCCAGCCCTGCAAGGGGCCCTCCCTTTGGTATAATATAAAATAATATGATATTTGGAAGAGAACTGTAGAGAAGAAAATGTTAATTTTATTTTTAAAATAATTTAACCAGCAGAGGGCAGAATCTCCTGATCATTATTTCCTAATTGAAGTGAATCACATACTGTCCATAATGTTGTAGATATCGTTATGAAATCTCTAGATTTACAGCAGACATATGAAGAACAGTACGACTAGCACAAAAAAAAAATTTTAACAAAAATAAAATCCTTCACTTAGTTTTAAACACCTCCTCTCAGCAGTGTTTTCCAGTTTTATACATTGAATGGAAATTGATTGAAGCCTGTTGCACCAGCAATGATTAAATCAAAATAACTGGATAATAATCTGGTCTAATCATCAAGACAACAACTTCAGATCATTCTGTCTTCTTAATACCTTTTCATTTGTATGTGATCCACCTTATCTCTGCTGTGATGTTGAACACATTTCCCTCCAGAAACACTTACATTAAAAGGAATGTCTATCCTGACGGCGTGTGTCAGATCCTGTGCTGTAAATTCACGTCATAATTGCACCGTTGCATTTTTATTTCACCTTATCCCAACAAGTCCATGCACGACACCTGTATTGGTTTTGTTCCCGTGGGGAAGGTCCCATTTTAATTTCTAAGATTTTGAGATTGTGTTGAGGCACGTTAAATCTTTTGTCCTCGTGTCTTTGGATGTGTTTGAACAGGCAGGCAGGCTCATAAACGTAGGGATTTATTGGAAATTTGGCTTCAACGCAGCGCAGTGTTTTCTCACCAGACTGACTGGACGTCTTCTAGGTTTTGTCCATTCGTTTATTTCAAGTTGTTAACATTAAGTTTTCTGCACTTTGTCCTTTTTTACAACCCACCAGTATTTAATGTTAATACCACAGTTATTACTTTTACAACTGTCTTCAATTCACTGATTGGCTGTATGACTGATTGTGGTTGTCTGTTTTTTTTTTTATGCTTTCTTTTTCCTTTCATACTCAGCCTTCCTCAAATGATGTCATTTTTTCTGCAGTCATGATGATAAACAACCCTAATTACAGTTCATCCTGTGTCCTTCAATCCTGAAATATTTTGTTTTTTATTTGTCCCCTGTTCTTTTTTGATATTTTTGTCCACCAAAAAAATGATATTTTTTAAATGGCACTGCTTATTTTTTTTTAAAATTGGTTCATCTTTTTTCTACAATATCACTCATAATAAAAAATATATATATATATTCTCTTAAGTACTACCATAAAATAACAATGGTATACTTGCCCTTCAGTTTTTCTTCACATTTCTTAAGGCACAATCTCACTCCGTTTGTGAGCCACATGTGAATAGCCAAGTCTGAGCTCGTGAACTAGAGAGTTGACTTTATGTCTTGTTCTCGGTCTTTTCTCTTCCAGTACTCCCCACTGTTGAAGAAACTCTACTGTCAGATTGCCAAGACCTGTCCGATCCAGATCAAACTCTCCTCCCCGCCTCCACATGGCAGCATCATCAGAGCCATGCCAGTCTACAAGAAGGCGGAGCATGTCACAGAAGTGGTCAAACGCTGTCCTAACCATGAGCTGGGACGTGACTTTAATGATGGTAATCACAGTCAGATTATGTTATAAACATGTTATAAAATATTTTTTTAAAATTTAAGTAATACTTTTAGACTGCATCTTCACATCTTAACCTTTCTCCCATTTTTTTTTTTTAAATTTAAGTAATACTTTTAGACCGCATCTTCACATCTTAACCTTTCTCCCATCCCGTTTCCTTTTACAAAGGTCAGGCAGCACCAGCCAGTCACCTCATCAGGGTGGAGGGAAATAACCTCTCTCAGTACGTGGACGATCCTGTCACAGGCCGACAGAGTGTTTTTGTGCCATATGAGGCTCCACAGGTTGGTGGTTTGTCACTGTATCATACTGTAGTGTACAGATTAAATTCCTGACATCAGGATTTGTGTAACTGGAGTACTATCATTTATTACTGTTATAGTATCTGTGACATCATAACACATGGCAGACAGTGCTGTTATAACTGAAAGGATTTTACTAAGTAATGGTACAGTAGTCAGAGTAATTGTTGTCGATTTACTGTAGTGAAAGAAATGAAATCTGACTATTTAATATGGATGAAGCTACTGGTCTCAGAGGTGATGACTCTTCACATGGGACTATCATCAGACCAAACCTGTAACAGTCTGTAACATCGCGACACTGTGCAGCAGTACTGCCCTCTAGTGGCTAATTAGTCACACCTACACTAATACAGAGTTCCTTAAAATAAAAGAGAGCAAGGCGATTATGCACACCTGAAAATTCCACGGGTAAATTACATTTCGTCAAATCATTTTCGTACATGAAATGTTTCAAACTGATTTTTTTTGTGCTGCAGGTGGGCACCGAGTTTACCACCATCCTGTACAACTTCATGTGCAACAGCAGCTGCGTGGGGGGCATGAACAGAAGACCCATCCTCATCATCATCACTTTGGAAACAAGAGAGTAAGTTGGTAAAACATGGGTCTCTCTCACACACACACACATACACATCATCCTCCAATCACATCCTAATGAGTGTTCTTTTTCATAATAACTCATTTTTAGTGGTCAAGTCCTGGGCCGAAGGTCATTCGAAGGACGAATATGCGCCTGTCCTGGCAGAGATCGTAAAGCTGATGAAGACCACTTCAGAGAACAGCAAGCCCTGAATGAGAGCGTGTCCAAAAATGGCAACGTCAACAAGCGCAGTGAGTTGAAAATCTGAGGGTTTTTTTTAAATGTCATGAAGTACAGCTTTGTGATTTGACCAACTTTGTTGTTTCCAGACTTTAAACAGAGTCCGACAAATATTCCTAGTCCAAACATCAACATGAGGAAGAGACGACATGGAGAGGAAGAGATTTATTATATTCCTGTAAGTATGTTACATGTTAATAAGGGCTGGAGTTTCACTGTGCTAGGATCGCTAGGTACTGGAGACAACCTGTGTGAGAAATGTGCTGATATCACTATGCCAATTACAGCTGTAGCCCTGAGGACGGGATAAGGCAAAAGTCATTGAACACGCTGTGGTTACACAGGTTAGTAACTGCATGTTGTATCGGCAACAGGTTCGTGGCAGAGAGAACTTTGAGCTGCTGATGAAGATTAAGGACAGTTTAGAGCTGGTGGAGTTGGTGCCACAGCAGTTGGTGGAGTCCTACAGACAACAGGCACAGCAGCAACTGCTGCAGAGGCCGTGAGTTCCTACTGCACACACACACCCTTGCACCAGTACAACAACACATGTACAATACAATAAAAATAACATGTTGATGTGACACAAAATCAAAGTGTCAAATTATTCTAGCTGAGTAACCAGTTCAGTGTTTTTTTACTCAATCATCTTTTCAGTTTTACTTTATTACCAGTTTGCAACGCAACAGTTTTACGCAGCTCTGTGAACTACAAAATGTAGCCCCACGATGTACTTTTGTGTACTCACCATTTAAGAAACACTACCACAGGATGATTTTTAATCATTTGAATTTCCTAATATACAGACTAATACCTGCGACTCT